AGGATCAAAGGACTGCCGTTTAACATTTTGCCTCTTCTTGTTTTTGTTGGTCAAGTTACTTTACCTTTACGGTTTCACCTTACCATTTTTCTTTATTTCCAAATGCTAGGGATTGATGTTGTTAAGCACTCTCTTCCACCAATGCAGCATCGTTTTGTTCTTATGGTCGTGTCGATGTGCTGTCAACGGGTATCTTTTGTACAGATCCCTGTGCTACATTTCTTAGGTATTTGGAATGGCAGCTGGTTTTATCTGGTTGGTCATCTATTTGGCATTTTCTCTCTCTTCCAATTTGTGTGTATATATATATATATATATATTAGTAGGTTGAATTAAATGAAATGTATGTTTTGTGTGCCGTTTTGGACTATTGGTTCTTCTTCTCTCCTATTCCCTGATACTCTGTTTTTCTCTCCTGAAAATTTGTTTGGTTCTTCAGAAAAATCATTTGGATTCAACAGGGGTATTAGCCCCACAAGAAATATCAAGAGAATAATTATTGTGATCAAACCAAAATTAAGCTGGATTCAGTACTTTCTTAAACCTTCAGGCTACCAAACTCTTACCTAGGTTCTTCATTGATGAATACTGTTCCCCAGGGTCATGGCAATGAATTGAAATTAATGAATGTTCCTGTTTAATCTGGTAAACCGCTAATAATTTCCCTGGTATAATTGAGAGAAACAAAATAAAGATGTGTACCAAAAAGGAACATAGTTGTTAAAGCTTGGTAGGTGGATTTTGATAATGCCATTAGATCCTGTAACTAAACCCCTGTTGGCATCCCAACGCAAGCTTGTCATCTTGTAAAACTAAAATTCAAAGAGAATATCTATCTTCTATTCTCCCTCTCATATTTTTCTTCTTGGCCTGAACCTCTCCCATATTCTAACTTTAGAACCCTTTACCAATCAGAAAACACCTCATGTAACACGTCTAAGGAAGATCTTTTCCAAATGAATTCTGGCAAGCTGCTGACATATAATATTGGATGTACTCCAACTATCCCTTAACAACCCACAAATTTACACTTACATATTAGAGCATTACCATTGAATATATTCTTTGAACTTTGCTGCTTCGTTCTCTTAGTCTATTGACAGAAATGGTTTATTCAAAAATCATTCAAGGTAGCACCAACAAAATTTGTTTCACCAGGATTTACATTCTTTTCACATCAAGTGGAATGTTTTTTTTTTTTCTTTTTAAATGAAAATATCGAGCTTGTGATTGTAGTAACATGATCATGAAGGAAACTTAATGATATAGTCCAAATTTGAAGCATTGAAGCATCAAATTGGATTTATTATCCCAAAACTCTGAGGTAGTGTTAAGCCTAGATTGTGTTAATGAAGCTCCAAGGAAGCATTCATGTCTGGAATATTGGAAGCAACAATCTTTTCAATGCCTACCCCAAACAATTGAACAAAGTTTCCTTCTTCCGGAGAGGAAAAATGATAATCACATCAATGTCTTTTCAACAGGAGCAAGTATTGCTATGAACTAAATCCTGTTACTATTTAGTTATTGTTTAGATAAATGTATTATTCAATTCATTCATATCTTTAGGAGCATGAAAACACAATAATTCGTACCTTTAAAGTGTTTCCTACCTGTCATTTTCACTGTTTCTCGGTAGAGAGCCTTTAAAGTTTTTCTGCTTTTGCAGCTCTTAGGGGTAGGGAGAGATGGATTCAAGAAGTTTGAATAACATAGACATAGTACTCTGCTAAATTGGTCAATACGGACAAAGCATTTATTTTACGGTGATGTAAAATGGCTGTTGTGCCTTTCATCTTTGTTGCAAAGTTGCAATTACTTCTCAGTATGTTGATCCCATCAGAATCTTGACTGGAGGTACTTCACCACTTTTTTATCCAGCTGGAAGGCCCCAGTAAGGGCATCAGGGTTAATGGGTGGATTTGATCCAAAAACAGCGTTTGCCATTGTGATCACGCCAGGATTCTGGCTGCTCAAACCAGCAAAAGCAACAGCATTGGTCTTTCCCACATTCTGCTGAAAGTGAATGAGGCCAATAGGGAAGACGAAAACATCTCCCGGGTAAAGGATTTTAGAGATGAGGCGATTATTTGGGTTGGATGTAACAAATCCAACATACAGTGTGCCTTCTAGCACCACAAGGATCTCCGTGCCACGAGGGTGGGTGTGAGGTGGGTTTAGCCCGCCACTTGGTGCATAGTCAATACGAACTAAAGAAATACCAAGAGTGTTTAGTCCTGGTATTTGGTCAACATTTACAGGAGTAACTACTGATCCGACAGAATTAGACGTATTCTTTGGGATGTTTAGCCCTGAAAAAAAGAAGTCGTTCACAGTAGCAAGCTTCGGATCCTTGCAGAACTTTCCATTCACAATCACTGCAGGAAAAAGAAGTTAGCTGAAAGCATGCATTGCCAAATTAAATACAAAAATTGAGAAAAGATTAGATGAGAAAGAGGCTTGCCTGATCCTTTCTTGGTGTCATTGATGGCTACACAGAAGTCCTGGAGGGGACTAGGGTCAGAGGCAGAGGCAAACGAGAAAGCCAAAACCAAGAGTATGAAACCCAAAATGAAATATGCACCTTTCATTGTCTCCTATAGACTCCTAGTTCTATCACCAATCTCTACCTTAATTTCTTCCTAGTGTTGTTGCTTGATATGGGTGACAAAACTTGCATTACAACAAGCCTATTTATAGACAGGGATTCTTGAAATGCTCTATACCTTGCATTCCCTTCTTGAAGTATAGCAGAAGTAGACCAACCAATTCATTAAGGGTCATTTATTTTGCAATTTAAGGGGAATTACTTTCCGCAGCTAGCCTCATTTGTTATCGCACTCAACTCCTCCTTCCTATTCTTACAGCAGTTCGGTGGTGACCTTTTCTCCTTTTTCCTACTGGATTGAAATCGAATTAAGTTATGGACTACTTCAATGCCCTCGACACCATTCACAAAGTTTCTATGACCAATAACTTGTCTTTACGGAAGTTTTAACTTTCAATTGAAATTGAAATGTCTACCGCACTGCTTCTTTAGCGTGGTGAGAGTCGAAATTCTAACGGTTGAGGCAGGTACCAAAATAGTGCACAGGAATTTGTGTTGCAGTTCCATCCGTGGGTACGAGTTCAATGCAACACAGCCTGGCTACATAAGTTAGAAAGGGGACTGTTATGTCATTCAATATAAAATTAAACTATGCTCAATTTCCACTGTCTAATGTGAAATTTCTTAGTTATAAATGACTTTCAAGCTCAGCTTCTCCAGCCTATAGTTGTATTAATAAAAGTTGTACAGAGATTTTGCTAAAACTATAGATCTCTAGTGTCATAAATCCCATATTAGTAAAAAATGGAATAAGTCGTTTTATAAATAAGAGCATTCATTCATGTATTAAATGCATTTATTAGTTCAGAAATATGGGTTCGTAATATTTTAAGTAAAAATACTTATTTTTTTTAGCATCAATTACTGGATACAATAAAAAATTTTAAAATTAATTATATATAAATAATTTATACATGTATAACAAATAAAATTAAAAAATTAACTTTTTTAAAAAAATTAAGAATTATATATATATCTCATATAAATAACATTTATACATGCAAAACCAAAAAAAAATTAAAAATTATATTTGCTAATAAAACTGAGAATTATATAAATGTCAAAAAAGAGGTGCTAAAAAATATATGGTAAAAAAATAAAAAATTATATTTATTAATGAAACTAAGATTATATATATGCCATAAAAGAGACGTTTAAAAAAAATAAAAAATTCTATTTATTAACAAAATTGAGAATTATATATATGTCATAAAATAGGTGCTAAAAAATATATTGTAAAACAAAAAAAAATTATATTAATTAAAAAGATTAAAAATTTATATATGACATAAAATATTAAAAAATTATATTTATTAATAAAATTAAGAATTATATATATGTTGTAAAAGAGGCCATTGTGGCTAATTGGATTAAACATCTATTTCATGATCTTTCAAAAAAAAAGCGTCTGTTTCGTAAGAGGAAGATCATTTGGTTGAGAAAAAAAATACATGGTAAAACAAAAGAAATTTATATTTATTAATAAAATTGAGAATTTTATATATGTCATGTGCTTCTAATTTAGTAAATAGAACGTCCATTTCCTAAGCATAAGGTCTATTGGTTGAGAATATATATATATATATATATATATATAAATTAAAATATTGTTAAATTTAAACTCTCAACTTATTCCTTTATAATATATATTTTTAAATAAGATATGATATTTCATGTAAATTTATTAATTAAAAAAATTAAATTGTTGATGTCAAAAATAAATTTTTTTAGTGTCTTTCTATTTAAAGTTTAAATCTTAAATATTAAAAGAATAAAAAATAATTGATCATGTTTCAACCACAATAATAAGTTTTGAATAATCATGTAGTACAAAGTTTAAAAAATGTATACTATTATACACATATCGTGTGATATATGTATAATATACACTTGATACTTTATCATGTTTCATCACTGACTGATTCCTTATTTGGTTTAATATAAACTTTCTTATACTATCTAAAATGCATTTTCAACGGAATACAATAATGCACATTTAACAACAAAACACTAAACCACATACTCAATCAATATGGCATTCAAATCACTAAACCATCTCTTACAATACGATTTTGTTTTTCACAAGCTTCTAAAAAAAATAGATATTTTCCACAAAATTAAAAAGAACAAATTCTGTGTGGATTTGTTTTGCCAAATATACACATGAATGAGAGTGCACATTAATCAAAAGGTCTCTTTAAGGGCATTTTTGTTTGAAAATCTCATCTCTTAGCTAAAAGCAGTTAAAATTATTTAAATGGTTATTTTCAAAAACACCTTATACTTTAAGGCTAAAAAAAATTTTCTTTTTTTCTTTAATGGTGTGATATATTGGGATAGTGCTGCTAAAGAGTTGCTATACTTTGATGTGGAGACTGAATGCTTGATGCCGATGCCAATGCTAAGTAGGCAGTATAGCGGTTCTCAATATTTTGGAGAGTCTGGAGGCTATTTGCATCTTGCTGTCGAACGAAAGCCTGGTAGTCATTTAAAATTTCTGATTTACAAAATGCGAGTGGATTACTCACATTGGTTCATCAAGAACCGTATTGATCTTGAAGCCGAAATGCGAAGTATCAACCTTAAACCTCTTTATTGCGATTATGATATTTTTTGTCTAGCTGTGCGCTCTGATAAGGAGAAAGGAGATTCAATGGTTGCAGTACTTGAATGTGGTACAACACCATATTACAATTTCACGGATAAGGAAATGGAAGTGCGGGCAAATGGTCCTAAGGCAAATGGATATCGGTACAATATTGCAAGGTTTCGGGGCAGTGAATTCTTTGAGACCCTCTCTTGTGTTTAAGAGTGCAACTACTTCAACCTTAGTTGAATAATTCTACTAGTTTATAAGCTTTGATGCTATATTATTACAATGTTTTAGTACTGTTTTTTACAGTTGTGCTATTCTCTTCATCTTCTTATGTTATCTGTTCCCATTGCAAAACTCGTAGCAAAAATAATGTTTAAATGAATCTGGTTGGCTTTACCTTGTACACACTAAAAGTCTTTAAATTAATAATTATTCAGTTCTGTACATAGCTTTTCAGTAGTAATTTTTAATTGCATTTCCCTTAATGTACAGGGAAATTTAGTAAAATCGGATTAAGGAATCCATTGGAAAATGAAATGTTTTAGAAATTGGAGATTGTCTAGCAGTGGTTAAAATGCATTCACCTAGTGCCGTCAAGTATTAACAGGAAGTTATCTAGTAAATTATGTCCTTTCACCTGCAATCATTGACCATTGCTTTTGGGCTCGAAAAAGTGAGCGAGGCAGATATTGAAGGGAGTCAATGTTGATAAATAGCCAATATGGAGACGATGCTCAAAGGACCACTGAGAACAAGCTCTTGGAATGGGATACAAACATAAAATTCTAAACAAAGACGTAAGCATAGATATAGGGTATTTCTTTACGAGAAGGTGTCTTACACCAAAACGCATTACATCTTCAGTTGATGACAAGGCTTTAATGATCGTTATGGAGATTAAAATAATGACATGGCTTTAAATTATTGGAATTAGATACAAATTAACGTGGAATATCTATTTTATACAATATATCTCTATCTAGTGTTTAATTAATTACTGTACTATCATGAGGAAATGTAAAAAAAAAATCATATGAGACAAACAGTCAGACGATGTTGACTCAATTATTGTACCCAATAACAAGAAATTTGCATAGAAAAAGAGGGTTAAAAGACTTTAGAGTGGCTCAATAATTTATAATAATTTTACTTATGGCAGTTATTGGGTAAGAAAAATTCGTTTTTTGCTAGTCAGTTGTTGAATGTTCATTACATTAAATGCAGAGCCAAATTGCATTCCTACTGTAATGGATTTCAATAAAAGGGAAATTGATTAAATTTAGCGTAAGTCATATGACAAGAATGGAAACATAATATCAAAGTTTTAACCCAGGTTAGAAGCTTGGTAGGAAAACGAAGATAACGAGGAGGCAATGTCGGGTGTAGAGACAGATGAATCCCAGTTGTGTTGTCAATATTATATAAATTTTGAATTCTTTCTAGTGCAGAATGAATTTGGGATTATGTCAAAGAAAATATCCAAAAGGATGCGTTAGCGTAGCAAATTTAAATTTCTTTTATGGCTTTTCAGTTTTTCCCCTTATTTTCCATATAAATCCAAAAAACAAATTCCCTTCCCCTTTTGCCAGAAAATACGTTAAATGTATATTCCAATTATAGAATGAAGATTTATTGGATTATTCAACGCAAAATTTAAATTATATTTTTTATTATAATTAATTGCTTACGTCATATGACTTCTAATTTTTCTATGGACATATACTCATCAAAGACAGATTCTTGGAGTGTATCAAAAATCAAATTCATTTCAGTGGTCGCTATACAGTTCGACCGCGCTGTTTTCTTTAACGGTGTGATTCATTGGGATAGTGCTACGTACTAAAGAGTCGCTAGAGACTGAATGCTTGATGCCAAAGCCAAGAAGGCACTATAGTGGTTCTTGATATTTTGGTGAGTCCGAAGGTTATTTGCATCTTGCGATTAGACGAAAGCCTGCTTGACATTTAATATTTCTGATTTACGAAATGCTAGTGGATTACTTGAATTGGTTTATCAAGTATCATACTGATCTTGAATTCACAATGCGAAGTTTCAACCTTGTACCTTCTTACAGAAATTATAATTTTATATGTCTGGTTGTGCATTCTGATGAGCACAAAGGAGATTCAATTATTGTTATATTTGAAAGTGGTCTGACACTATATTACACCTTCAAGGATAAGGAAATTGAGGCGATGGAAGTACGGACAGATGGTCCTAAGGCATACAATTATCTATTCGACAATGCAAGGTTTCGGGGCTGCGAATACTTGGAGACCCTTTCTTACGTTTAAGAGTGCAACTACTTCAACCTTGTTGAATAATTGTACTCGTTTATAAGCTTTGATGTTATATTATTGCAACGTTTCAGTGCTGTCTTTTGCAGTTCTACTATTCTGTTTATCATCTTATGTCAACTGTTCCCATTGCAAACTTGTAGCGAAAACAATGTTTATCAATTTACAAAGATAAATGAATCTTGTTTCCTATTCCTTGTACATACTAAGGGTCTTTAAATTAATAATTATTCAGTTCTATACATAGCTTTTCAGTGGTATTTTTTAATCTCAATGTTTTATAACAGTTCAAATGGCTTCCAGTTTAATCTAAATGTGTAGAAAATATTCAAAATCTAAGCAAAGAACCAAACTGCTTGATGGTAAATAAAGAAGTACATAAAGAGCTATTTAAAATTGCTAATTAAACCTAAGCCTACTTAGTGTGTAAGTACAGTAATTATAATACCCAACTAAACTTAAACCTACTTTGTATGCAAGTAAATAAAATAGTAAATAAGAAAGTATTGTAAACCTATACTTCTTTAAAGTACAAGTAAAGTAAAAAGAAAATAAAAAAATATTCTCTCTAAGATATTCTTACAATTAATAATTACAGCTCATGCTTAGACTCTCCCTCAAGTTGGAGCATAGATATCAATCATGCCCAACTTGTCAATTATACCATGGAACACTTTCCCTGAAACTACTTTCGTGAGATAATTAAACTTCAGACCAGACAAATGGAAATTGTATAATTTTTTTTATCGAGAATCTACTTGATGAAATGTCGATCAATTTCAACATGCCTGGTGCAATCATGTTGTATAGGATTTTGTGCAATTTCAATGGCATCCTTATTATCACAATAAAGATTTATAGGTTTTTCATATGCAATTTCCAACTCTTTGAGAATACTCCTAATTCACAATAATTCGCACACACCATGAGCCATACCTCGAAATTTAACTTTTGCACTTGATATTGCCACAACCTTTTGCTTCTTGCTTTTTCAAGTGACAAGATTACCTTCCACGAAAGTAAAATAACCAAATGTGGATCTTTTGGTTGTTGGATCACCTACCCAGTCAAAATCTGTAAATCCTCCAATGTCAAGGACACCATTTTTTAAGAACAACAAACCTTTGCCCAAAGCACTCTTCAAGTGTATTAGGATTCGATATACTACATTCATATGTTCTTCACTTGGTGCATGCATAAATTGACTTACGACACTTACAGCATAAGCTATATTCGATATTGTGTGTGACAAATAAATTAATTTCCTAACCAACTACTAATAACGACCCTGGTATATTGAAACTTGATATGAAAAAATTCCAAGCTTATGATTCATCTTGATGGGCGTGTCTGCTGATTTGCAAGCAAGCATTCTAGTTTTGGTTAAGAGATCTAGCACATATTTCCGTTGTAAAAGGAAAATCCCCTGTTTTGATCTTGCAACCTCAATCCCTAAAAAATATTTAAGTTACCCCAAATCCTTCATTTCAAATTTAGCATCCAAATATTCTCGTAACACTTTCATTTCACATGGGTCATCTCCTGCCAAGATCATATCATTAACATATACAATTAAAACTATTACCTTCCCCTCTTTATATTTTATAAACAAAGCATGGTCTAAGTTACTTTGTTTATAACCAAATGCTTTCATTATAGAAAAAAACCTCCCAAGCCAAACTCTAAGCGATTGTTTTAGCCCATATAATGACTTCTTCCATTTACAAACTTTCCTTATACACAAAGAACTATGTCTAATTCTTGGTGTTAACTCCATGTAGACTTTTTCCTCTAAGTCTCCATTGAGGAAAGCATTTTTAACTTCAAATTGTTGTAAAGGCCAATCTCAATTTGCTACTATAGATATGAGAATGTGAATTGTATTGATCTTGACTACTAGTGCAAAAGTCTCCCGATAATCCACACCCCATACCTCTGCATATATCCTTTTGCAACTAATCTTGCTTTATATTTGTCAATGCTGTCATCTTCTTTGAGTTTCACCAAAAATACCCATCTACATTCAATCGTCTTCTTTCCTTTAGGTAAGGGAACCATGGAATTGCTTGGTTCGGTGTGAACAATGAAATTGGTTTCTACCATGTAGTTCGGATGAACAAAAGAAAAAAAATGTGATAGTGATTTTTTGACTAAAGTCTTCAAAATTCGAGATTCGAGTTAAAGAATTCTTTTCATATTAAAACTGTTCTGATACTATGTAGAAAATATTCAAAATCTAAGTAAAAAATTAAAATGCTTGATGATAAATAAAGAACTACATAAAGAGCTATTTATAATAGCAAACTAAACCTAAACCTATTTGGTGTGCAAGTAAAGTAATTGTAATAGCTAATTAAACCTAAACCTACTAGATGTGCAAGTTAAGAAAATAGTAAATAAAAAAATATTCTAATTCTAAAATTTTTTTAGAGTACAAGCAAAATAAAAAAAATACTTTCCTAAAATATTTGCAGAATTAATAATTATAACTCATATTGGCAAGAGGTGGTCACCATTTTGTTTTGGCAGGACTACCAAGTAGCAATAGGAAGCTCTCTAGTAAATTATGTCCTTTCACCAACCATCATTGACCTCGGCTTTCTGGCTGTTGCTGTTCCTGCTTTAAGCAGCCAAAATCCTGGTGTCATTACAATAGCAAATGCAGTGTTTAGATCAGACCCATCCATTAGTTCTGATCTTCTAGCCAAGGCCTTTAAACTGGACAGAAAAATGGTGAAAAATCTTCTGTCAAAATTCTGAGGGCAACAATTGGAGGAATGTTTCTACCTTGCAGCTTATGTTGAATAAGTTTTTACATCCCTTGTAATTGTAACAATTCTTTCTGAAATGTAAAATAACAGAGGTTCCTTATGGACCTCTGCAAAATCTTTATTCCGTTACAGATCTATAAAACAA